AGAGAGTGAGTGAGTAAGAGAGAGAGAGAGAGACAGCGAGTGAGTGAGTAAGAGAGAGAGAGAGAGAGAGAGAGAGAGTGAGTGAGTAAGTGAGAGAGATTTTGATTTTGAACAGTTTATTTGGATAAATAAAGAGAGAGAGAGAGAGAGAGAGAGAGAGAGACTGACTGACAGACAACAGACACACACATACACACACACATACAGACAGACACAGATAAAAAAGGGAGATAGTGGGAAGGGGAAGAAAGGAAATAAAAATGCAAAATCAAACAAACGAATGAATACTACAGACGGGATGAATTACCACAGAAGAGAAATAAAGCCAGAAAATAATCACAATTCTTTTAGATGAAGTTTTTAGATGAATGTTCGAAATACACAAAGGAAATCGAAACACAACCGTCCTCTTTCAAAGTCATTTCCCGCGCCGCAGCTTGTGATAGGCCGCCATGTTTTATTGTCACGGCGTAATGAGACGGTTAGCGGAAATGCGCTAAATCAATCGAAATGCAGCCGTTAGAACTCCGAATGGAAGTGTCAGGCTATTTAATGTTGCTACTTTATATGAACTCTCTGCAATTCTCCGTATTTTTTTCTAGAATGATAATATATGAATAAAATTCCTTAAATAGATCTTGTTTTCTTAAAAAGGAGGGACTGCAGCGAAGAAAAATATTTTGTGAATTTTTCTCCTGAGTCTTCGGGAAGTTGAGCGAAAAATTCGGAAACGCGAGTGAAAATTTATGAAACAAATCTACACCGGCTCAAGGCAAGTTTAATGGGCATTTCGCTGGCCTTCCGGAGAGTTTCATTGATACGGACACATTATTAAGCGCTCTTTTTCCGCTGTGCGTTTAATCGGTTCTTTCAACGTTTCGCTAGCTTTTCACTTTTCCTAACTGTTCTTGTTAAACACGCTCAAAAGTCCTGAATTCCAAATCATATCAATCCTCATATCCATATCACAATTCATACCAACGTCTCTTAAAACTTAAATCTATGTTTGTCAATCACACATACCAAAAAGAGAAAAAAAAAAATCACCGCTATTGTTCAGCATTTTTTCGCTTAATTGTAGCGCTTTCTTCGACGTGGCCTCCAATACCCAAGCTTATGTTTCGCTTTTCCTGAAGTTTTAAAAAGGAAAATATGAGGTTTACTAGCCTGCCTGCATATTACTGCGATTTTACGCAACGGTAGGTACTTTGGAACCGTGTTTTGTGGGGTATTTCAAATTGCGTCTTATTCATTTCAATTATTATCACTTTATCGCTGTTTTGTTATTGTTTTTCTTTTTTTTTGTTTTTTACTATTTATATCGTTCTATTATCATGATTATTCTCTTGCTAAAGTATATATCTATATTACTAATATCAATCATGTTATTGTTTATTAATATCATCATTATTTAGTATTATTATCATTATTATCATTGTTATTTCTTTTAATATTATCATCGTTTTGTTATATTCTTAATACTATCATCATTATATCATTATACTAGTTAGTATTATTATTATCACCATAATAATTATTATTGTTATTATTATTATCATTACTATCATCATCATCATTATTATTATTACTATTATTATTGTTGGTGTTTGTTGCTGTTGCTTGTTGTGTTGTTGTTATTATTATCATGATTATTATCACTATTATCACTGTTATTATTATCTCTTGGTAATAAATAATGTAACAGACATCAAAATAACATCATCATGATACTAAGGAAAATAACGTAATGAAATAGTGATAATGTAATGATATTATGAAATCAAAAATTATGAATAATGAAATATAAATATATATATAATATAATAATATAATAATAATAATAATAATAATAATAATAATAATAATAATAATAATAGAATAATAATAAGATAATTAAAATAATAATAAATAAAAATAATAATGTAATAATAATAATAATATCATATCAATAAATAATAATTCAATAATGATGATGAAGGATAATGATAATATAATTATGATGATTAGGATGATAATAATGTTAATGATGATGGATAATCATAAATAACAATAGCAACGATGATGATGATAAGAAAAAATGAATTATAATAAGAAATAATAAAAGTAGTAATGGTAAAAAAGATGATAGTATTAATAATAATTTTGATTACTGTATACTAATAATAATGTCCATAATCATGATAATGATAATAATAATGATAATGATGTCTTGTTTTATAGTTTCGTGTTTTGTCTTATAATAATGATGATAATGATAATAACATTAGCAAGAATAATGATAAAAAGAATTATTTTAATAATGATATTATTATATAATCATGATAATGTAATGATAACAATAATCATAATAATAATTATCATTACTATTAGTATTATTGTTATTATTAGTATTAGTATTAGTAGTATTAACATTATAACAATAAGGATAACAGTAATTATATTAATAATCATAATAGTTATGACGATGATGATAATAACAATAATGATAACAGTAATGATAACAATGATACTAATAGTGATGAAAATGAGAATCATAACAGTAATAATGATGATGATGATGATAGTAATGATAATAGTAATAATGAATAATGGTAATAAGTAATAATAATGATAAATAATAGTTATAATAATGATAATGAAAAACTGGTAATAACAATAATAATAATAAAATGATAAAATGATGATAATAATAAAACGATAATAATAAACAATAATGATGATAATGACAAAGAGTATAATATGATAATAATTAATATAATGATAATAATAATAATAATAATAATAATAATAATAATAATATTAATAATAATGATAATAATAGTAATGAATGATAATATAATAATAATAATAATAATAATAACAATAATAATAATAATAATGATAATAATATATAATAATAATAATGAATAATAATAATAATGATGATGATGATGAAAATAATGATAAAAGTAATAATAGTAACGATAATAATAATGATGATATGATAATAACAAGAATGATAATAGAATGAATAACAATGATGATAACAGTAATGATAATGAAAGTGATAATAATGATAATGATAAAATGAAGACAATATCATATGACGATGAGAAAGAGAAAAATGGATGAACTAATGATGATGATAGTAACAGTAATAATGATAACTTTCATCCATTCACCCGCATCCCTCAGGTAGGCAAGAGCAATATATTTCCAAAAATAATTAAAAAAATAATTCAAAATAAATATAAATAAATAAAAAAGAATTGAAAAGTGATTGGGAAAACAAAATAAAATCATAATCCAAAATATATATAATAAGAAGAGAGTTGTCTAGAAAAGGGGAGGGGAGGTTGGGGTGGGGGATGGGGGAGGGGGGAGGGATCACCCTTGGGGAATAGTCTGTAGTTTAATACATTCTTTCAGAAGAGGGAAGGGGGGGAGGGGAGGGAGGGGATTCCTTATTTAGGCTTTATTTATTAACGGGAAGCCCACACTTATCTGTTATTGCTATTAATTTCATCATTATGATTATTGTTAGAAGCATATTATCATTAACATTATCATTATTGTTACTGTATCTATTGTTGTTTTTTCTGTGTTATTACTTTCGCTAAAATCATCAACTTATTGATACTTTATGATTATCATAATTATAATAATTGTCATTATCATTATCATTAATATCATTATCCTTACATCATTATTGTTATTATTACTGTTATTATCATTATTAATATTATCATATTATATTATCAATTTATTATTATTGTTGTTATCATTATTACTATTATTATCCTTATTATCATTATTATCATTATCATATTTAGTGTTATTACCAATATTACTATTATCATCATATTAATAACATCGTATTATCATTGTCCTTATCATTATTATCATGTTATTATCATATTATCGTTTATTATCATTATCATTATTATAGATACCATAATCAATCCCGTCATTATCAACATCATCATCATTACTGTTATTCGTGTCATCATTATTATCATTGTTATCATTACTACTATCATTACTAATAGCAGCACTATTATCTTTACCATCATCAATTCTATCAATCATCTCATCATTATCATCAAAAACTACCCTGCTTCCCTCCCCCAGCTCACCCCATATCCTAACCCCCATCCCCCCAACCCCCCCACCTACGTCTTCACACCTTACCCCCTCATCTCCCTCTCGCACTCCCTCACCCTCCCACCTCCCATCCCCCCTCTCCCCCTTCTACCCCACCTCTCACCCCCTCTTCCCCTCTCCCCATCTCCATCCCCATCCCCCATCCCCATCCCCTCCCCCCCCTCCACCCTCTCTTCGCCCCTCTCCCCTCTCCCCCACCTCCCACCCACCTCTCATCCCCCCACCTCTCATCCACCCCACCTCCCACCCCCTCCCCACCCTTTTACCCCAACTCCCCACCGTTCTCCCCCCTCTCCCCATCCGATGATGCTACTTTGTCAACTTTTAAACGATCACTGAAATGTTATTTGTTATCACAGTATATCAATATATGTTTAACTGTACTTATTTTATATCATATTTTTCTATTATTTGCCCTTGCATCTTTGTATTTCCTCCTATACTGTAATTATTTGTGTATCTATGTATATATATATGTGTATGTCTGTGTGTGTGGATATATGTATATGTATATTTGTATGTATGTGTATGTGTGCATGTATATATACGTATATGCACATTGGGCGTGTGTGTTTGTGTATGAACGTATGTCTGAGTATATATATGTATGTGTATATGTATGTGTATGTCTATATGTATACATATATATGTGTATCTACATATGTATATGTCCATGTTTATATATGAGTATGTATATGAGTGTATGTCTATGTATGTATGCGTGCGTATGTGTATGCATGTATATTTTATATTATATACATATAATGTATGTCATGCTATTCTGCTGTAATTTCCTTTGATATCATTATGTACAACGTCATTCAGTATTTGTATGGTTAGTTTACTTATTTACTTACATTATGTCCTGATTTCTCTATCTTGTTTTCAATGATTAGTAGTTCAAGGGGCCTTCCTAAGGGAGCCTCACTCCTGGAGGGCTCAGCCATACCGCTAGTGCAATATGTGTATTTTTTGTTGATGTATTGTATTTGGCTAAATTAATTATTTGATTCTGATTCTGATCTCATCCCCTCCCCCTCACCGCCACCTCCCTTCCCCACCTCCACCCACCCCCCTCCCCCCCCACCCACCCCCTCCCCCACCTCCCACCCACCCCTCTTCCCCCACCTCCACCCACCCTCCTCCCCACCTCCCACCCACCCTCTCCTCCCCCACCTCCCATCACCCCCTCTTCCCCCCGCACCTCCCACCCCCACCCCTTCTTCCCACCTCCCACCCACCCCTCTCCTCCCACCCCACCCACCCTCTCCCACCCCCACCCACCCCTCTTCCCCCCACCTCCCAACCCCTCCTCCCCTCACCTCGAGTCCTCAAGAGTACGTACCTTTCCGCATCCTGGGTACGCTTTAAAAACATGATTTATTAAGCGCGGAAGGGGAAAATATTAGCGATTTGTGAACACTGACCCTGAATATGAAGGCGGGAGGGGGGGAGGGAAAGGTGGGTGAAGAGGGGGAGGCGGAGGTGGGAGGAGGAGAAAGGTGGGGGAATGGGAGCAATGGGGGGGGTGAAAGGGAGTGGGGAGGGGAAGGAAGGTGGGCGGAGAGGAAGCTGGTGGAGGAGGGGTGTGGGGGTGGGAAGCGAGGAAAGGGTGAGGGAATGGGAAGGGAAGTGGGGGGGTGGGGAAGGGAATGGGACAGGGGAGGAAAGGTGGGGGAGGGAGGAGGGGAAGGTGTGGAGGGGGAGGGGATGGGAAAGGTGGTGGGGGGAGAGGAGGGGAGGGAGGAGTGGGGAGGGAAGGGATGGTGGGGAAGGTGGAGGGGTAAGGGAAGGAGGGGGAAGGTGGGAAACGGTGGGAGGAAGGGAGAGGGAGGGGGGAAGGAAGGGGGGAGAGGGGATGGGGGGGGGGAGGAGGGAAGGGAGAGGGGAAGGGGTAGGAGAGAGTGAGGAAGGGGGGAGGGAAGTGGGTATGAAAATTTTATAAAAAAAAAAAAGGAACTGGGGGAAAAAATGAGAAGTTTGTGTTTTGTGTATTTCTGTGGGATGTTAAGATTTTTTAAAGATGGTGGGGGAGGGTAGGGAGTTTTGAAGATGAAGTATCTGTGTATTTATGAAGCAGTTTTTTTTTTTTTTTTTTTTTTTTTTTTTTTTCTTAGTGCTAAGATTGGCCTGTAAACGCTAAGGTACTCACATATAGGGTTAGACACTTACACGGACACACGTACACACGACACGTACACACATAACATACAAAGTTTGAGCACATTTCATATTTATTAAAGAAATGAGTCACCTCTCTCTCTCTCTCTCTCTCTCTCTCTCTCTCTCTCTCTCTCTCTCTCTCTCTCTCTCTCTCTCTCTCTCTCTCTCTCTCTCTCTCTCTCTCTCTCTCTCTCTCTCACTCTCTCTCTCTCTCTCTCTTTCTCTCTCTCTCTCTCTCTCTCTCTCTCTCTCTCTCTCTCTCTCTCTCTCTTCTCTCTCTCTCTCTCTCTCTCTCTCTCTCTCTCTCTCTCTCTCTCTCTCTCTCTCTCTCTCTCTCTCTCTCTCTCTCTCTCTCTCTCTCTCTCTCTCTTCTCTCTCTCTCTCTTCCCCTCTCTCTCTCCTCTCTCTCCTCTCTCTCTCCTCTCTCTCCTCTCTCTCTCTGTCTCTCCTCTCTCTTCTCTCTCTCTCTCTCTCTCTCTCTCTCTCTCTCTCTCTCTCCTCTCTCTCTCATTCTCTCTCTCTCTCTCTCTCTCTCTCTCTCTCTCTCTCTCTCTCTCTCTCTCTCTCTCTCTCCTCTCTCTCTCTCTCTCTCTCTCTCTCTCTCTCTCTCTCTCTCTCTCTCTCTCTCTCTCTCTCTCTCTCTCTCTCTCTCTCTCTCTCTCTCTCTCTCTCTCTCTTCTTCTTCTTCTGTGAGTCTTCTGTCTTCCAGACATGACATCCTATATACCCCCTACTGAAATCTCCCCCCACCCCCCCCTACCCCCACCCACCCCCTACCCACCACCCCAACCACCTCCTTCCCCCTGACGTCATAGCCAGCTGACAGTCAGTCTACTATTGCTGCAGAATTGTTATGTCGGACTGAGGAAGGGAATGCAGGTCGTCCCTTTCATATTTTGAGGGATAAATCTTTTTTTTCTTCTTCTTCTTTTTCTTTCTTTTTTCTCTCTATCTCTTTTGACTGCGGCATAAATCTATCTTTTTTTTCTCTTCTTCTTCTACTTTTCTCTCTGTATATCTATCTCTCTTTTTACTTCTTTTTCTCTCTCCTTTTTTCTTTCTTTTTTTCTGTTTTTTTTTTTCTCTCTCTCCTTTTTTCTTGATTATTTTTTTTCTCTCTCCCTCTTCTTTGTCTTCTCCTTTCTTCTCTCTCCTTTTTTTTCTCTCTCTTTTCTTTTTGTCTCTCCTTTTTTC